GACTCACGGTCTCTGTTGCATGAGAATGTAGAGAAAACGACAGCCACCGTCACTGTTGACTAGAGCATGACGTTTCAGGTAAGAGCTTGAGGAATTTCTGACAGTCGTCCTTAGGCCCTAGGCGTATAATACTTTCTTGCATGATAGTCGAATATACCCCGCAACCCTGTTCTAATTATCAAGGCTACTCGGAGAACCTGCGGCCATGGCGAAAGAGGAGCCAGAGCACTGCATGAGCCCATGCTTCCAGTCCCGACTCACGGAATGGGGCGAGCAGTGCCTCAGATTTCAGGCCTCCGGTGAGGAATGGGGGCCCACGAAGCCATGCTGCCCGGCAAACCCCTTTTTGGGGCTAGAGGGACTAGAAGTCTGGCAAGGCTTGAAGAAGGACGAGGCGAAAGCATGCGTGGAACTCCTCAGCATTGAAGAGTTGCTTGAGTTGCATCGCGTCTTCCTCGAGACAGTCTCGACTCCAGAGCCCCAGCCCGCTCCAGGTGTAGTTTCGGCAATGCTGCCGAACCTGCAGCTTCGGCCTTGGGCCGGATCTCCCGAGGCATCCGGATCTGCAAGCTCCTGCCAGAAGCCTTCAGAGGTCGAGCCGATCTCGTCCGAGAGAACCAGAGGCCAGGGCAAGGTCCACAAGGCCCAGGCGGCCAAGGCCAAGGCCGAGAAGGCCCAGCGCAAGCCGAAAGCCACAGCAAAAGCTTCCGGCAAGAAGCAAAGCCCCTGCCCTTCGAAAGTGAAGGGTGTCTATTACAGCAAAGACAGACGGTGCTGGCGCGTTGGAATTTGTGTCCCGTTCACCAACAAACAGAAATTCGGAGGCTACTTCGTGGTGAAGAAGGATGCCGAGGCTAAGGCGCAAGAACTGACCAAGGAGCTGCAGAAAGCTTCCGGCTCCGCTGTGACAGAGGCGAGCCCGGCTGAGAGACGCCCGGATAGTCCCTCCACCAAGAAGAGGACGAACGAGGCGGCCAAGGCCAAGAAGCTGAAGCGGAAGCCCGGCAAAGCGACGGGCATTGGCATTGGTTATTGTTCACGCTCGCGGTCCTGGCGTGTAGCAGTGTATGACCCCGCTATTAAAAGAACGAAACATGGGGGCTACTTCCGCACGAAGAAGGATGCCTTGGCCCAGGTTCGGGAGCTGGCTAAGACTAAGAAGCCCAGCTCCGATGTCAAGGGCGTCTACTGTTACAGGAACAGCTGGAACGTACATGTGTATGATTCCGCCACCCGGAAAGCCACATACGGAGGCTCTTTCAAGTTCAAGCAGGAAGCGGAGGCCAGGGCCAAACAACTGGCCAAGAACGCGGGGGTGGCCTGGCGCAAGCTCTGACAGCGGTGCTGTATGTGGATATGGATCTATGTGCGAGGCGACTGCCAAAGCTGTGCTTGTGGGGAAGTGGTCAATAATTCTGCAGCATTATCAGCAGCAGCACCCTAATCGTCACCACCATCGTTATCAGACAGTTGCCGCCGCCAGTGCCCACCGCCTTTGTCATCCCATGATGCTGGTTAATCGTTGTCCGCAGCAGCCGTGCCAGTGCCGTCAACATCGTCATCGCCGTCATCCTCTTTACCATCAGCGTCATGATCATAATCTTCGTCAGCAGCAACAGCACTGACGTCCTCGTCACCATCCACAGCAACATCAGCATCGTTGTCATCATCACCACCGCCACCACCACTACCACCCCCACCCCCTTTGGCATCACCCTGAGCGACATCATCTGCGTCATCGTTACCACCATGATCACCATCATATTATTCTTTATCTTCCTCGCCAGCTTCTTCACCATCACCGTCACCACTTGATCGCACGACAACGATGACGAGGCAACAAAATGAGACGAGCCACTCACTTTCTACTGATACTGCTGGCGACAGAGCTTTGCTGGTGACTAGCAGTCGTGTTAGTCGATGTGATGGTGGGGGTGGTCGCAGTGATGGCGAAAGGAGACGTGCGGGTGCAAAGGTACAGGGGTGATGCTACCTGTAATGGTGATGGTCCAACAGCCCCGCCACTGCCACCATTCGCTGGAGCCGTGGGCTTCAGACATGACTACTAGGGGAGAAAGACCTGCCAGTCTCGGCCGCATGCCAGACCTACGAACCTAGGAAGCGCATGTGTGCATCTACCTTACTTGGAGCAACGGAGCTTCCTAACAACAATCGAATTTCTCAGCGCCCACCAATGCCTGGGGATGGCGATGGCCCTGGGAAGGCTGAGCCCCTAACAGATCGGGCGGAGGACGATCACTGGGCGTCTTAGGGGCTGCGATTCTAGGGTGTTTGGGGGAAGCGATGTCCTATGTTTTGAAGCCGTGTCGGCGCTGAGGCTTTGTGGGATGAACTGCGAATCCCTCCACCAGTACAAAGCGGTTTGCACTGTGAGAGCCTTGAGCTTGAAGCGCCTTTCTGGGTGAGCAGCTACGATTGAGGCCTTGCTAATCAGAATAGGGTTTTGGTGCCAATTATACTATGCTGAAAATAAGGAGCCCCCAAAATAGTTTCGGCACCATCGCAGACTGCTTAATTAGCCCGTAAATTCCTCGAACCATAAGGTGGAAAGTCCGAAGCCCCGGATCGTTGTCGGAATTTGTAGGCTTGCCCACGCTTGAAGCCGAGTGCTCAAACCAGAACTGGATTTGTGGCCGGAGCTCGCACGCAGAGCTATTCGAAAGCCTGCCAAGAGTTGTTGTAGCATTTGTAGGTCTGTCGGCTTGTGATTGGTGGCGTGGTGACAAATACAAGTAGTTGCGAACAGGGATCTAAATAGGCTATCTATGTGTGTGTATATATATATATATATATAGCCGTAGTACCACTAAACTCCAACTTCCCCTCAGGGTCCCGACACTTGAAATCCCCATCCCTGTAGGACCCTACTATAGACCCCCCAACCCTATTCTAGTTATTAAGGCCACTACCTAAACCCTAAACCCCCACAAACTTTAAACCCTTGAATCCTAGACCCGTATAAACTCCTAGACCCAAACCTGAACGACGAAACCCCACACTCTAAACCCTAAACCCCTAAACCCTAAACCCCCAAAGCCCTAAACCCTAGAGCTCTAAACCCCTAAACCCTAAACCCCCGTACTCCAGGAGTGGAGCGAGTGTGCGTCGCGACTGTTTGCCGGACTCGTGTCTTCATTGTTCCGCAACCATTAGGGTATATAGGGTTTAGGGTATATAGTATGGAGGGTTTAGGGCTTAGGGTATCTGCAACGGGGTCGAAGGGCCTACAGTTTAATGAAGCTTGTAATTAGCAGGAGCCTTGCTTGCCTTGTGCGAGTGTGAGTGTTGAAAACCCTGCTACCCACAACAACCTGCAACCCAGCCCTTACGCCAAGGCAAGAAGACCCTTACAGCATTCTAGTAATATACACACACACACATGGAGAGGGAGGGAGAGAGAGAGAGAGAGAGAGGAAAAACGATCAGCATTATCCCTTTTTTGTTCCGAGACATTCTCTGAACTGTACCACAAAATACTTTCTGATTGCTCATGACCTTATAGCACCCCGCTGATGCTGAGACCTGGCCTTTGCACATGGCCCAAGGAACTCCGGAAGGGCTGCGCAGCTCATCAGACTGGACGAAAAGCCGACTGACACCAACATTCGGAAGCGTGTGTAGTGTTTGGGTACAGCCCCCCACTCAGTAACAGTTGGATAATATTCAATACAGAGATATAAGGACCTTAATAGTAGCCCTATTATAGACTGTTACTGTATGGGGGCCGTACCCAATGTAGTGTATTTCATAAAGATAAGAAGAATAGAATAACACTGTGACAATTTCTATGCAGGGGTCTAGTGTAAGATGATGTTGGTGACTTTACTCGTTTTTCGTTGAGGGAGCCTAAGTCCCTGCAGTATTCTTTAGTTTCCAAGGGCCAGAAAGTCCAACGACAAAAACATTGGGCGTTTAGGTTGGAGGGGCATGCTGTCTTGAACAGTTTGGGGGTTCCGGGGGCTCGGAGCTTGGGATCACAAAGGCGTTCAGTTGTTGCTCTTTGTACGGGTTTAGGGGCCAGTGTTTGGACCTATCTATATATATATATATATATAGTTTTGTGCGGGGGTTAGGCTTACCGCCTGAAGGGTAAAGAGGATGTACAGGGTGCACTCGCTGCCCCCGGGCCAAGGGAGCTCCGCTCTGAGGTTAGCCATATGAGAGTTTCCGACAACCAGGGATACCTTATTACCTTTAAAGGGATCTATAAGGGTTTCTACAAAGGGTTTAGGGTTTTCAGAGTTTCCGAAGCTTAGGGGTGTACCTTATTTGGGGGTCCTTACAATAAGGATCCTAGTATTTGGGCTACTACATTCGGATCCCTTATTTTCGGAAACTCCCATATTGTGTTGTTCTACATGACATTGGGGCAGTTGAGGGTTCCTTTTAAGGCCTTTCAGGGGTTCCTGTAGGGATTCCCTTTAAACGCGAACTCTGCCAGCGTGGATCCTCATACCGTGAAAGTTCACCACGACGAGCAAGACGACCAACATCGCCATGACCACCCTGGAGATTAGAGGAACGACTAGGAGACCACCAGGAAACGAAATGCCTCCCCCAAGTGATGGTGGGATTCAGCGTCTTGGATGCCAGAACGTGGCCCGTGTGCAGGAATGTATAATGAAACTGGCTTTCCAAAGAACGCACCTATATCTTGCGCAAACATTATAATAGAACGGGAGCCCGGGCTCGCGAACAGAGCAACCTAATCTCTTCACTCCTGACGCTAGAACCCCACAGTGCGTGCTACACCCTAAACTATGGAATCCGAAGAGTCGAAACGTCAAAACCCTTAAACCCTGCTATAAGCCCTGTAGCACCCTCCAGGTGCCTCTGTTCGCAGCAGCAAGCTGCGAACCAGCGAGCTGCGGAAACTTTGCGAGGAGATTGCGTCGGCGATCGGAGTCGAAATTTCGGTTTACCCTAAGGGTCCAAGTAACATAGTATAGTACATTATACATTCGGGGCTCAAAAACCTACTAATTAAGTACCTACAAAATGGTACTTGGACTCTTTGGCTTCAGGGTTCAGGCCATTTGTAGGGGACCTCTAAGATCTCTAAGTGTTCTACCGGAATCTGTGATGGTTTGATATAAGCGTTCTGCAAGGGGTACGATAAAGATTGTATGTATAAGTAGGGGTAAAGAGGGTCGAGACCTTAGCCTGAGGAATCGGTGATGTGATTTAGGTCTCCTGCTCATAGTTATTATAGTATACTGGACCCCAAAACCCTATTCTAATTATTCTATAAGGCCTTTACAGTTACTCAGTAAGGTTCCATATTTGCCTTTTTTGTTTGAGGCCCGAAGGTTTTCAGGTTGTGGGGGGTGGGGGATTACGGACGTTCAGGAGTTCAGGACTCACGGTTTCGGGCCTTTGCTTCAGAGTTTAGGATCTTTGGGGTTTAGGGCCCGATTCAGCATGAAGTAAGGATTGAGGCTTTTCCACGAAGCAACCTCCTGGTATCGCACATGTCCCTCCATCGCGCATTAGGAACAGCCTTATGCAAGACCTGCCATTGATCCAACCGTGGTTTCAACTCGCTAGCTTTAGCGTATACCCTGCACCGCAAAACCACAGGCCCCAGTATGGGCCCTGTTCTAATAGTATGGTACTTCGTTAAGGGCCCTGGAAATGATCTTTCGATAATGTTTGAGTTGTATATCGGGCCCCCTATCTTCTGAAGCTCCCATATGAGTGGGCAACCCCTAAACCCTAAACCCCCTAAACCCCCTAAACCCCCTAAGCCCCCTAAACCCTAAACCCTAAACCTGGTTTGTCCGAGTGTGAGCGCCGAAACCCTACAGAGATGTCAGAACATGCCTGTCAGGAGTGGCAAGCAGACTGCGACTCTGGCGGCAGCCCGGCCCTGAGATTGTCTTTTCTTTAGAAGCAAAATCCTAGGACCCAGAGTAGGCCCTTATTCCCTTCTTTGGGGGTTCAGGTTCCCTTATAAGCCCCTTTAAACCAAAAAGGGCACCCTTTTTATTCCTAGGCTACTCTTGGGTCTAGAATCTTGAAGTAACCATGCAATAAAGAGTGCCAGGCACAAGCCGTATCAATGGCCCGTTAATCGGCAGCTATCTCGTCTTAGTTCCGAAGTTACGTCAAAGTGCGAAAACCTGCCGTCACCTGGCCCGTCACATGCATCCGAATTACACCACCTTGGTGTAATGTCCAAAAACCTCTAGAAAGCCGTCAGCCCTAACCGAGGCAAAAAAAGCATGATCCAGGCCCTGCTCAAAGTTCAGCTGGGCCCAGATGTGCCAGAGAAGGGCGTGCGCACCTCGAAAGGACCAATTTTCAGGGCTTTAGGGTTTAGTGTTCCTCCCCCCGTCCCTCCGCCCCCCCGGTTTGCTGAGTATCTAGTGCTGCATCGATGAGAGGGGAAGGGGGGACTGTGTTCCCCTGTCTACAGGCCGTCTGGGGTGTTCTGTTTGGCCTGCGGGCCCAACTAGTATGTAAGGGCCGAAGGCCTTCGATCCCGAGACCCACGTTAATCCTTGAGACAGACTGACACACAGACCTTGTCTGATGAGGCATGTGTCATCCGGGAATCGCCATGGGATATGACGTCGCGCTGCGGAATCCAGCGCCAATGGACTCCAGAGAAGTCGAGGGCAAAGGGTTACAGGTTGAATGGTTTGGTCTGGAAACAGACAGAACCCGAGACATGTAAATGTTGCAGGGTGCTGTATCAAGACGCCCACATGCTGTGAGATGCTGTGAGACAATGATTCACCTTAACTTAAGTATGGAACTGCCCTAAACCCTAACCCTAAACCCAAGGTGCGAACTGAAATTCATAAACAAGAAAAACCGTGACTTTGGCCCCAGACCCAGGGAGCAGGAGCACGCAGATGCCGCAGGTTTAAATTACTTCCCTAAACTCCTAAACCGTAAACCCCTCAGCCCAAACCCCTACAACTTGGTACACTTCTCGAAGACAAACCCTACAACTTAAGCGACAACTCCTGAGACGTTCTGCGGCTTCCTTGACGGCATCAGTCCGAACGGCTAGAGTGGATAGAAGCTACTTCGTTTTGTCTCGAGAGTCTTAGCCCCGGCTTTTATGTGGAAGTGGGGATGCGTTGTAGGGTTTGCCAAACGCTTTCTAAACCCTAAACCGTGTCGAAGATCGATGTTGGGATGTGGCTGAAGTTCTCCTGTCAAAGGCAACAAGGAATACCCAGGCAGAAGCCTGAACTGCACCCGCCCCTAAACCCTACCTTAACACCAGATAACCTGCCTTTCAATTTCAGGTCATTTACAAGGAAATCATAACACTGAAGAGCCCTACAACAGCAGGTCTTATTGGGTTCACAGAGCCCTACAGAGCTAACCACGGAGATGCGGAGAAAGGTGGTGCGCCTACAGACTGACACCAAGCGAGCAGAGCTCGACAGACAACGAGCGGATGCTCGGCGAAAAGAAAGAGTATGTGTGTATGTGTACACATATATATATATATATATGCACACGCACACACATATATATATATACACATACTGCACACAGATATGTATGCCTACTTTAGACCTTCATGAGGGCTTTTGGGGATCGGCATGCTTTGGGCCTTTAGGTTCTCTGGTTGTAGGGCTTCAGGGTCCTTGTTCGGCCATGAACGGCCCGAAAGTGCCAGAGTAGTAATCCGTGAGAGCACCGCTAGAATCATGTACTCCATGATTTGCCTCCAAGGCGCCTTCTTTATTCTTCAGGCTCTTATGTCGGTGATGTAGTGGTGTTGGGGCCTGCGGATTCGTGCGAATGGGCCTGACCGGAAGTCTCCGACATATCTATGCTGGAGCGAGTCAACGATTAGCAATAGGCTAGCGTCAGATTGAACATAGGCCAGGCCTGAATCAACTTAGCATGGTTGCAAACAGACTACGTGCAGGTGAACAACACAGCGTGATCGAGTTCGGAGGGCAGGATTCTGCGATCGTTGATGGCTGTTGCCAGGATCCAGTTCTAGCCAGTTTAAAGCTGAAGGGACCGACGGAATGCACGAAATGTACGCGCCCCGTCAGGCACGAAGACAAGTTTCGCCACTCACGTGTCAAAACTTGAAGCCCGGAGGTGCTGAAGGTGGACCAAGGGACTGCGTAAAGCCATGCCTGTGCCCCCTGAGTGGCGCATTAGCCGAGGAAGGGCTTCGTGTTGGACCCTGCCCTAAGGGCAGCTGGCACCATGTCTGCTGGTCTAGGTCGAAGGAAGATTGTTTCTGGGTGAGAGCCTGGGTTCAACGTTGTTTCTGGGTTCAGGGTTTGGGCGCGGTTAAGTGGACCGCAGCCCCTGCTCAACAAAATGGTTGTCGGTTAGTTACCTGCCGTCAGCCAGCAGGCAGGCAGCACACGGGTCGTGCCAGAGCGCACTTCACAGAAGTAGCCGCTGACAAGACTTTTTGAATCACAGAGTTGTCCAGCAAAGTGTCAACATGCAACCTCAAACGCATTGCTTTGTCTATCTCATGCTTGATAGTTGAGCCGACGCCAACCACAAACATCTACTCACTCGCCACCCGACATGCTCCAACTGTTATCTCCACCACCACTACTCATCAAGCCGGTCAACGAGAAGCACTTTGGTACTCTGACCCTGCAGCCGTCCAGCGATCCATGGATCGCTGCGAAACCACATATATATATATATATATGTACACACACATACGAATAAGGGCCCTTGTTCACAAGGCTTCGCAAGGCTTTTTGCAGACAGGTCGCAGAGGAGTTGCAGGCATGAGAGGGGTACGGACAGCAGGCGGCCGCGTAAGCAAGCAGTGGCTGGGATGCATATGTCTGTAGGCAAGCTGTGTCCCGACATTTGTTCTTTCAACATTGCCCAGACACTGAATCAAAGCATGCCAAATGACGATGGTGTTTCTGCCCCGCTCTAGACGCAACACCCACAGCCCTAAACCGATAAGCCATGTACAGCAGCTTGGCCAAGGTATCGAACAGACGAACCCCAGCCAGTATGAGAACACCGGTTCCGCGACTTGCAGACAGGATGTGTTGTTGTCCGCTTCCGGGCAGTGCGGGGTCTTATACGCACTCTCCGGTATAGAACCGTTATATGACAGCATCCCTCATACTGAGCCTTTAGTCGTTTTCTCATGTGGCCTTGACAGTAAGCTATATGGGAGTTTCCGAAAATAGGGGACCTTAATATAATACCCTATATAGTAGGATCCTTATTATAAGGGCCCCAAAATAAGGTATCCCCCCCCCCCCCCCATTTTCGTAAACTCCCATATCTCTGCAGGTCTATGACTGAGGCATCTTCAGAGCCTGAAGTTGGGGATGGCTGTTCCCCCATCAAAGCATCAGACAGGACCTGTCGATATAAGCTGGCCCGAGAAAACTTGAGGCCCTACCCAGAGGCCCCATAGTAGTTCCTTTTTGGGGTTCATATATAGAACCCTATAAGGTAATCCCAAAAAAGACCCCATTACTATGATAGCAGTTCCTTTTGGGGATTACCTTATAGGATTCTATATTACTATATATTACTACTATGGGGCCTATGGGTGTGGGAGTCACCAGAGTGAATCGTGGAGCTTCCAGCAAAGTCTAAACCAGGAGCCCAGTTTTTTGTTGGCTGAGGGCTTCCGAGGCTAAGGCTCTTCCTTACTCCCAAATCACCTACCTTTTTGAGGACTTATAAAAGGAAGTCAGGTTAAGGAAGCTTAAAAACTCTAGGTTTCTTAGGGTAGAGGTTGGGGTTCAGGATGGTTTAGAGAGATTAGGCTGCCTGAGGCCTTTGGCCCCGACTTAGGAAAGTGTCCGCGAGATTCGAGTGTTGGAGGCCTCGAACTTAAGAAACCTGCATAACACCGGTCCTGAAGCAACCGTTCACGTGTGGAACGTGGGGGGTATTTATCTCGGGGAGCACCACAGCTCGGGAAGCCTCGCAGCTCCGGACACATTAGGTCTTGGCTGCTGGGTCGGGGAGATTCATAGATCCTCAGAGAAGCCAGACGGACCTTTAAGAGGTTGTAGGCCATTGTAGGCCTGTCACCCTCGACACACTCGGCTCTGAGCCATCGCCAGCCAGCGGAGGTTTCGATAAGGGCCACCTGGCCCCTTCCCTTGCGACGAGCTTCGACCGGAAGGAGCTGGGTGAAGTTCAGGGGCAAGGTCGAGATTCTTGGAGCCAATACTTCTACTGCCTTCCCTTACCACGGCCCTTTGAGCTACTACCACTGCTGCCTACCACAACCCCTACCACCACTGCCTACCACAACCACTCTGCCTGCCACTACCGCTACCGCTTCTACCACTGCAACTGCTGCTGCTGCTACTACTACCACCACCACTACTACCAGAACCACCATTACCAGACGACGACTACTTTTCCTACACCGCAAGAGCTGCCACTGTATAACTAATGGCTCTACGATTACCAATTAAAATTAATTAACAAATATTGCAATTACCAATGCCTCATTAATGAGAACGACACCAACACTAGTGTGCATATCCATAGTAAGACTACATGTGAAGAGCAGCAACTAACTGTCCATGCCCAAAAGAGCTACCGCACAACCCTAAAGCCGGGCACAGCTTCCAAGCAATGCGAGAGGGAAAAAAAAAAGCACACGGCCCGAAACCTTAAACCGTCAAGCTCTTAAGGTGCCCTCATAGAACCCGTTTGTAATCCTTAAAGTTATCCCTTAAAAGGACGCCTGAAACCTTCAACTGTCTGGTTCTCAGTTGGGAATGAGGGAATTGATCGCTATAGTAGTCCCTATATAATCGCCTGGCCCTTATAGGACCCCTTCAAGGAACCCTTAAAGGAACGCCGTTCCCTACTACGAACTGACCGAAGAGACCTCGAGCAGGAGCTCGTATCCATGGACCGCAGCCCGTGGAAGGCTCACAGCCCTCAAGGGTTTAATATCAGGGCAATAAGTAGGATACGGTTCCGTTTGAGGGGCCTATAAGGGCTACTTTTAAGGGATGCTATAAGGGTATTTTTATGTAGGGGGCCTTAATAACTAGAAAAGGGTTTGGGGCTCATGATACTATAACTCCCCAAAATAGACATTAGGGTTTAGGGCTCCGAGCTTTTGAGTTCGGGATTTAGGGGCCTTGAAGGTTACAGATTGCAGGTTCTCCAGTTTAGGGTTTTCGAGGGTTCAGGGATTTCAGGCACTGTAGGGTTTTGGTTTTCAGGTTTGAGTGTCTGGCCCTCAGTTTCCTTTCTTCAGGGGTACCGGGCAGTCGCAATAGACCTGGATGCAAAAAGGTTTGAGTGTCTCGGTCTCGGGTTTAGAACTGAAATGCTGAGGTTGTATGTATATATATATATATAGATAGGTATAGGGTAGGCGGAGTGGCAGTCCCCAGAATCTGCGAACGGGAAGCCATGCCTGACTTCGGTGACTCGAATCCACCCAAAGCCTGAACAGCGGACCGAGCTGCAAGCGCTGCGCAGGCAAGCTACTTTGCGAGCAACATTGCGCCGCAGCCGCTTAGTCAAAAGGCAAAGTTTCAAAGTGCAAAGGTTCTCCACGGCAACGAGGACAATGGATGTTTTTGAGAATCGGCTTCTGAGGCACTAGACTTGAGTGGCCTTTTTGCCTTAGACGACTGAGAAAGGATCGTTACACTTATCCGTCCCAGCCTGTCAGGTACAGCACGATGAATCAGCGAAGCCTTCAGGCAGCATTCTGGGGACCTATGTTGGTCGGTTTTCGTCTCTGTCAGACAGAACTTGCACATGGCTGCCACGTGTCAACAAGATCTGAGCTGCAAAACCTCGCACACGTCGGTTCAAAGCAGAATGGTAAGCTAGTATGGGAGCTTCCGAAAATAGGGGACCCTAATATAGGACAGTACCCCAAACAGTAGGATCCTCATTATAAGGACCCCAAACTAGGGTGCCCCTAATTTTCGGAGACTCCCATATGCGGAAACCTGCGGTCAAGCGCAAACAGCCTCATCGCTAACAACTGCTTGTTGGAGTGATTGACTTGCTAATTCCGAGGCAACAACTATCGCAATGCGATCGTGATCCTTCAGGTAGGTACTGGAAGCAGCTAGAGCGAGCACAATTCATGAAGAGCAATGCCATGATCATCCTCGTCGTGATCGCAATACGCATGTTGGAACATGCATATATATGTATAAACAGACTCGGATTCACAAACAGAACCATACTACTGAGCACAGATGTTGAGGCATTGCCACTTTAAACTGAAGCAAATCAGCCGAATTCAAAATACAGACTCAGTTTTCATCCGTAAGTTGATGCGCAACCAGAGCTTATCATACTGTGATGACTCGCAACATGAGGCATTGAAGCATCAGACATGAGACTAAGGCTGGCAAGAGCTGGAAAATGCGCTGCACGAGTACGCCGTAGACCTGCCCAGGGAGTTTTGGCTAGGGTTAAGGATTGAGGTTTCAGGGTTAGTATGGAATGGGCTTCGCCAAGACTCCAACACCCTACTCCATCGGTGCCTGCATGTGTAGATACTCGCAAACGTGTGTGTCATTGAGTTTGTAAGTCCTTCTGTACATAGTCATGCACACATCGGTTTTGGATGCACCTGTTTCGGCAGCTCAATCGTACTCATAGGTTTGCATGTGCCCGTTGTCTTTGCTTGTGTTCTGGTGATTTACGAGTCGTGTGTTATGCCGATGGTCGAAGATGTCCCAAAGTTAGGCAGGAGTTTGTGTGCGCCCATCCCCGCATGCGTCTGCGGATAGTTTCTATGTGTATATATATATATATATGTATATATGCATACATACATACATACATACATACATACATACATACACAAATACAGTACGTAACAGTACGTATGTGAATGTGTGTCTATGTGTGTATATATATATATATACCACACAGACACACGCATACGCACATACACACACACGAACCAGGAGAAATTCTGGAGTATTTGTCAACCTCCTGCGTGGCACCTAGTCACAATGCATGTGAGGTGCCCCCACAGTATAGCCCAATGGCGGAGCAGATTTGCAGAGAACTCGTCGAAGCTATGACTTATGACTGATGAATATCCGGTTACAAAGTACTATACACTATATGTATCTATATATATATATATATATATATATATCGTGAAGTACTGTATATCTCATGATCGTTTGTCTTCTTATACAGTATCTACCATCGATGAATCCCGATGTGACTAAGTCCAGCCCGGGTCTCTTCGTCGTCACCGGACTCGGCTACTGGAACCGCAGAGCCCCTCGAGCTTGGCAGGCTGCATCGGATTCTCGGAGAGATCGTAGTCTCCTTGGGAATTACTTTTCATTCTTGTTCATGTAAGATACAAAACTTAAGAGACTATTTCAAAAATCGTGTATTTGTTATGTTTCTAAGGGGAGTAGGTATAGCCTCGAAGGGACGAAGTCAAGGAGCCCTCAACCCCAAAGGGAGTTCTGGTGGTCAAAAGTGTTGGGTTCTTCGGGCTGAGCTTTTGCTAGAAGGAGGCCGAACAGGGGCATCTGCAGGAATCCACTTCTGTAACTCATGCAGACCTATGCAACACATACACTCCTCCTCTAACTTTGGCGCCACGCTGTGACCCAGGAATGCTGGCTGGAGTGCCCTTGCCAAAGAGAGTGCGATTGTCGCACCTGCGAGGACCGGAAGGGCTTCTGGAGGAGTTGCATCACGGCAAGGTTGAAGGCCGTGAGCTGGCGATTTGGGAGTGGTTTCTTGCCGAGCAGAAATCATGGGTTCTGCGCATGCCTGTCACTGCTGGGTCCTCTGAAACCTTCATGCCTTGGAGCCCTCGTGGCCGAAGCGGTTCTTTCGAGCGCCGAGGTCAAGCAAAAGCCCGGCAACATCCAGAGAAATTCAGCATCGGAGCAACAACCCCCATGGCGCCACCACCACACTCGTTGCACTAGAACGCTTTTCTTTGCGGCTCGTGAGGATGTGTGCCCCAGACCACCCGACTAGTCTTCGCAGAAGCGGCTGGCAGCAGTGAAAGTATACAGCGACGCTGTAGATCTGCGCGCTACATTATGCCGTGCATCCGACGGACGCCCTCGGAAAATGCTATCTGAAGAAGAGACTAGGGTTCGCCGTTTTTTTGCATTATGACGACAGCATTGGCCATCTTTTCAATCAGATTTCAACCGCAATGAGCAGGACGACTTCGTCTATGTTCCGACTTTCTATTGGAAGCTTGGATGACATGGTTGGCAACACATTTTGGGTCCAATGTCGTAGGAATTTCAGGAATCTGGGAAGAAGCATGTAAGACAGACCACATGTCCTAGAATTCAGACAGGCGCAGCTTGATGAGAAGAAAGATGCACCTTAGATTTCCAGCTAGGCTGGAAACTTTTGTTTCCAGGCAACGAGGCAGATGGATGGAACTCTTCTGTGGGTCTACGTCGGGCCATTCTGCCAACTTGTTGGCGTTGCTGCTTTAGATGTTCCGGGAGCGCCAGTCTTTGGAGCGGGGCACGTCGTGGAGACAGACTGTGCATTCAGTGAGGAAAAAGTCGGTCCTGTTTGCGTGCGTTGTCGGACATGATATGAATCGGTCTTCAGACATTCCTCCTGCTGCTAAATAAGCCGAAAGTCCCAGTCTTACGACGCAAATCCCGCCGTAGCGTTGGCCTAAGGTTTCCCTAAAACTCCAGTTACCTAAGTACAGTAGTAGGTGACTGGGGTATAGAATATATGGTTAACCTACTATTCGGGTAACTGGAGCCCTACCGTAGGAACCTGATCAAGAAACCATGGCTCTATAACCCCCCGAAATAGTAGGAGTCATGTAAGAAACCCCGAGAAAGGCCCAAGGTTTCTTAATTAATCAGATTCTTACATGAAACCACCCAAAACCTCAAAAGTACCTTCGTAGTACCCTTTAGAGGAACCCCTATAGAACCCTATAAGCCCAAGGTTTCTTAGTCAGGTCCCTACATGATTACAGAACCCTTATAAGTCCCTTTATAGTAACCCCCTTAAAAGGAACCCTTAAAAAAGGCCAAGGTTTCTTGGCCCAGGGTTTCATGGGAGCCTCTTGCTCAGGAAGGCCGTGTGCGAGCCGGCCCGCGGCTCCTTCGCCGCGATCGTGGAGAACGACCCAGAGACTTCCGGCGGCAGTGGTGTTTAGAGTTTATACACTAAAGCCCATCACCTCTTCTGGTGGTTTCTCGGATTTGGGGGTAAGGTTCAGAGGAGGGTTTAGGGTTTATACATTAAGCCACATAAAGTTGGAAATCGGATCAATGCCAAATAGTCCTGGGATTTCCTATACATTTCGCTTAAGGATTGAGGCTATTGGGTTTCCATCTCTGCGGCTTCTACTGTAATGGCTTTGGGTTTATAAGGGTTTAGAGTTTATAAGGGTTTAGGGCATAATGGTTTAGGGTTCATAAGGGTTTAGGGTTTGTAAGGGTTTAGCAGGGTTTGTAAATGGTTTAGGGCTTATTTGTGTAAATGGTTTAGCGTTACAAGGGTTTAGGGTTTAGAGTGTTGGACTTTTTTGGGCTTTGACCGTCTGGCTCGCTGTTGTGGAGGAGAGGCTTTCAGCTAGATATGGTGAAGGCCCAAGTGGCCGTACCACGTTTTGGCTGTTTAGTCATATTTGGGTGATTCCATGAGCTTTGGGACGTGCGGCCTGCGAAAAGAGAAGCGTAGAACTGCCCGAAACTTCCAAATCTGCGATGTTCTTGCCAAGTTCCTAAACCCAAAAGTATAAACCCTGGTCGTGTAGTCATCTGCAACTTCCTAGATGCAACGACTCTACACACTCCAAACCCGAAACCAAAATCCTAAACCAAGTTGCATAGCGTCAGGTGGGTAGTTGTCAAAATTAAGGTCCTTTTTTGGGTATCCTAAATTATTGGTGCCGTATTATAATAGGGACCCAAATTTGGAGCATAATTTTGACAACCACCCAGGTCCAGCCAACTGGAGGGAGGACAGGACGGTTGGCCTCCGTCAGCCTTCGCCTCCTACTCAGCCCCTTGGGTGGGTTTCATCTCCTGGACATGTTGATTCTACTGTAGAGGCCTTAATAGTTAGAGCAGGGTTCCCTTTAAAGGGGTCTATGAGGGTTACTACAGGGGCTACTATAGGGGTAGCATAATGTAGAGGCCTTAATAATTAGAATAGGGTTTTGGGGCCATCTAATATAATTATAATAAGGAGCCCCCAAAATAGTATGGGTAATTATTAAGGCCCCTATAGTACGCTGCGGGGCGGCGGGGTGTTTTTTACGAATAGCTCCGAAGCTTGAAGGAAGCAGGTCGACTGTAAACAGTCTCAAAAAGCTGGAGGACCGGTGCGTCCTTGTACGGTTCTGGGAGCATTTCGATTGAATCAGGTAGGCCCGGAAAGTTTTCGGAAGGGCATTCGAACTTGAGGCTTCTTGATCTCAAAAGTCGGAGTTGGCTCGAGTCACAGTCCTTGCGACCTCTTGAGAACTCCTAAACAGGTCTATAAGGGCTATATTCTCTCATTGTTTTTGGCGGGTTCCTTATGAAGGTACCAGTACTATAAGGGTTCTGTAAAGAGATGTATAAAAAGCTCCTGTGTGAGCCCGTTTACTCAGCAACGAGGCTGCGAACCTGTTTACAGCATGAAGGTTGAATGCTTTCCTATAGCAGGACGCGGGTGAACCGTGTCTATTCTGCAACGCAGGTCTGAATGTCATCCTAAAGACCTACAAACCCAAACATTTGCCGCCCTACGCCCTCCACCCCTAAAGCCGTCTAGAGCCCTGAACATACGAAACCCCAAGAGGTGGCGGACCTGGAGAAACTGTTGGATTTGAAGGTCAACTTCCCAGAAGACTGCTCCTCAGCAGCAGATACGAGAAGGGGCTTTAATTATCCGACGAGGGTTTGGGGGCCCATTATACTATCTATATATATATATATATATAATAAGGAGCCCCAAAAACGTATCGGTAATTACTAAGGCCCCAATATTAGCAGGGTTCCGGGGTTCGGGTTCTGGGGTGGAGAGAGAGAAATAATTTCCAATACTACGGCTGGTGCCCAAAATCCTGCATGACTTTGTACATCTCCACGGCTTCCCTGCGACCTTAATTTGAATAGACGCGTTCTTTTTTCATATTGCTTAGCACGGGCTAGAAGAAGGGCTTGCGCGAATGCCCTAAATCCTGCACGTCCCCATTGGGATGACATTGAGATTGAGGGGTTGCGAGGAAGTGGATAAGGCTATATCCAGTATGTAGGCTGTTGTGGATCATGCAGGATTTTGGGCATCAACAGTATTGTGCGGGGGGGGGGGGGGTGCTTATATTTTTTATAGTATAGCGGGCCCCAAAACCCTATTCTAATTATTAAGGCCCCTCTAGAACCGAGGCTTAACCCCGAACCGTCTCCCCAAAGAGCCCGGAATAGAACCAGCTTCAGGACCGACACCCTACCAGTTTGTTGCTCCGCGTCCTTCTTCCAAACCATCGGCTGCTGGACAAAGCCAGCCACCTTCAAAAGTCAATGCTCCAGAA